GGGGCCGGATATGTGCGTGGGTAAACAATAGCCGGACGGCAGAGATGATTCAATGTTGCCTGGTCCAGGAAAAGTACACAGCTCGTTCGCATTCTCTGCGACGTTGACAGCCATTAGCGTACGCAAAGCGTGTGACGGATTGCGGCTAACAAATTGACTCTCTTGGGGACTAAAAAATGGTAATTTCTGTAAGCTGAATGCTACTGGGGCTTGTAACAGCGCGATCTGTGACAGAGAAGAGAGATTCGTTACGTTGAAAGAAAGGAGTTAGTCAGAACAGCTGAGGTTGTTTCAGACTTCAGCCATTGAATATGTGATACTCAGAGTGCCTGATAAAATTGTAAAAGGTTCTACAGTTTCACGTTTATATCATTTGACAAACCGAATAATTAATTAAATTTCACAATATGACGCAACTATATCATCTTATAAACTATTGTGTAATCACCCGTTTCACTTAGACACTTACTTTTGGTTTAGATATCGCATGAAACGCAAAGATTTTGCAACAAAATTTACATTAATAAGCTATTAAAGTTGTTACTCAACCTACAAGACACTTTAACTTGCCAAGCAAGTTTACTATGTGGTATTCCATTCGTTGTGTACCAACATTTTATAAGGAACTTCCTACCAATAATATTAAACTTCTAATAACACATTTCTATCTATTGTTCTGTTATTTCCTCGTACGTCGAAATATTATCATCATTACCCTACTCCGAAGCAAAATTAATGCATACATTCCCTTAGGAACAGATACCACGTTTCAAACCCATACAAAAAGAAACCATAGTTCCCAAATATTTGAACTTAGAGCTTATTGAACATCTTTCCATCTTACATTCAGTCAAGTTTCTTCTGTATCTACTGGCATATCGACCTCCTCACTAGAATCTAATGAGGTCTTTACTTTTCATTAGGGCAAAAACATATTTTCGCCCGTCACAGATCGTAAGAACATTCGAAACACCAAGTCAACTACCAGCAAGTGAGACTGTACTCGTATTTAGAACCGTCTTGCTCAATCAGCTTTACGCACTGCACCAATATAAAGCCGTGGCCGATTCTTTCGGTGGACATCAATATCCAGTGACGTCACATTTTATTATTTTTTTTATTTAGTGTTCTGTCTGACGACAGGTACGTATGAACAGGATCCTTCCCTCCTTTTCTC